GTGTTGGTATGGATAATAAGACTTCTGCAGTGGTATGTTTTATACTCCCTCCGTAACAAAATAACTGTCCCAGTTTCCTTTTCGGGTTGTATCAAATTATTTGTCCCATTTCCCCTTTTGGAAATTAATTTCCCCTAAAAGGCAGCTACAATACAACTAGAGTACAACTACAATACCAAAAAACCTCTTACTTATCTTAATCTACGTAAAAAAGCAAATGGGACAGTTATTTTGATACAGAGGTAGTAGTATAGATTTCTTGTATATTGTATCTAAAAAGATAATGTGAGTCAAAGAATACTGTATCTATCCTTAATCAACTAATCAAAAGCTCACTCTTCACTAGTTTTATGAGATTTTAATGTGATTACGATTCTACTCTTTCATGTTTAGTCTTTTTGGATGGATCTACCAAGGAAGAAAAAGAACAAGGTGCTCACCCCATTTGATGCAAACTCTGGCCCTATTTATGACCGTGGGGTCACAATTGCTTTGAATTCATCAAACGGTTCTAATAATTTGGAAGGGTATGTTTTAGTACTCCCTCTATCACATTTTACCTTTCCTAGTTACTATTAGTGGATCACATCTTCAATTTTATCTTATATTCTTTAAGTTTATTAAATAGTTTTTGACAGGACTAATTCCACCGGATTTATTAGAGTTGCCGACTAAGTAGTTAAGTCGCTACCCGGTTAAGGGCCTAGCAATGAGTAGGACCGAGTACTTGGGATTATGCGGTGGTTACTCAGTCTTGCATTAATATGTGTGTGTGTGTATACATACACACACAGTCACACACACCAAAAAATTCTAGTAAAATATTAGTCTATAAAGTCTTATATACGAAGTATCGAACAAGAACGAATAATCTGAATAGTTAAGCACTATTACCTTCATCCCTTAAAACTTTGCCATCTTTGAATTTTCAAGTCAATAATGGTAAAATTTGGGCAATGATTTTGACTATTATAATTTTTTGAAAGTTATAAATTTTATTACTTTTATGAGAGTATTTTTAAGAACAAACATATTCATATCATTTTTGTATGATAACTAATTTCCTATAAAAATATATCATTGGTTAGAGTTTAACTAGGTTGACCATAAGGTTCAAAAATGACAAAGTTTCAAGGGACAGACTGACAGAGGGAGTCATCATCATCATTATCATTACCCCAGTGCCGCAAAGGGTCCCATTAACAGTGGGGTATGGGGGTCGGAAGTACGCAGTCATACCCCTGTACTAAAGTACAAAGAGACTGATTCCAGATGACCCATAGTGAAAATCGCGTCGAAAATTGCATGGACTGAGTGCTGCTTCATAATAAAGAATCACAGACAGTTTAATGAGCCATTTTGCTTTATTCCATCATATTCCAAAGGCAAAAAATAGTGAGTCGTTGGCTCCATTACAAATGATGGAAACAACGGACAGAGGGAGTATAAATTATAAACCATAAACTTTCCAACTTTCCTAGAACACTGATCATCTAATAATTCTTAATTCCTCATGTCTATTCTATATCATCTGATTTCCTCTTAAGCGCAGTATTAGCAGATTCACCAACATTAGAAGCCCCCAAAATTCCTTACTACCAACTATATACTTCCTTCGTTCTTTGTTAGTTGTAACACTTTGACTTTTATACTAATCACATACTCTACTGCGACTACATTTTATTTACTAATTTATTAAAAAATATAATTTTTTAAAAGTATAAGTGTGTACTAAAATGTTTTCTTACTATGATGTAAACTGTTAGGCATCAAATAAATATATTAATGGTCAAAGTGATGCGTTGACACACATGGAATACAAAGTTTTATAACAAAAAAACAGAGGTAGTATGTATTTTATCCATTGTCGTCATTCGTCGTCATTACCCCAGTGCCGCAAAGGCTCCCACCTGATGTACGCAGCCTTGCCCATGTACTAAAGCACAAAGAGGCTGTTTCCGGATGACCCATGGTGAAAATCGCGTAAAAAATTACATGAACTGACCATTGCTAATTGTTTCATAACAAAAAACAACGAGTCTTTGGCTCCATTACAAATGATGGAAAATGTAGTATGTATTTATATGAAAGAAAAAACACTGATGAGATTTAAGAGGTTGAAGAAGAACATGAAGAAGGAGAAGAGGAGGAAGAATAACAAGATGAGGAAAAAAGGAAGCTGCCACTGGAATTTTCGATTTGTGAAATAATCAAATCCTTCTAAAAATCCAGACTTTGTGATTTTTTTTTTTTTTGTAAATAGTCACTAGTTATTTTTGAACCCCATTGTATGCAACTTTAGTTTCAATTTTCCAGGTTTAACAAAAAAAATCAGTTATTGACTGAGTTACATGTGAGTAAACCAATTTACGAGTCATGAAAATCCTGAAGTAGCTGCTAGTTGGCGATTAACTCTGTGTATTGGAGAGGAACGTGTAAGCACACTAGTTGACTATGTCATAGCCCGAGTAATCGCCCATCAGAAAACACATTTTGCCGAAAGTACATGAAAGTACAAAGTAATGTTTATTTTTGTAGTGCAAAACAAAGAAACTTTACTATTTTATTGATGTCGCTACTGTGTCCTGATTTGTGGGATTTGTTGTTGACTGTGTAAGTGGTGTTTAACAATACTTTAGGAGTTTCAATATGTGCCTTGGCTATGGTTGCCCTACATGTCATCAGTTGACCAAGCACCATGTATTCTTTCTTCTAGAGTTCTATGAACAAGCCTCTACTGCATATAATGTACCTCGTATGGTAGCTCCACAGCAAAGCCATGACCACACACTGTGTACCCCGTGTCTTTTGTAGCTCCACAGTCAAGTTATGACCGCGTACCATGTCTTTGGGAGCTCCAGGCCAAGCCACAACCCCATGCACTGTGTCTTCGTTAGCTCCATTGTCAAGCCACAATTGTGTACCATGAACCTGCTCTGTGTACCCCCTTCCATGTACAAGCAATCAATACTTCCATACTGAGGATCGCGTCCGTATATTGTTTTTCAACTCCTCATTCTTGATAGCACCCTTCGCTCTTCGTCATAAGCAATATACATTCCGTGTCACGTCTTGGACCATGGCTGCCACAGAGATTTGACTTGGCCTTATCCACCACGACTCGTGCAATTGCCTCCCATGTCACGTCCTTAGCCATGTCTAACTATCTACCATGAACCATGCTATATATGGGTCATATACATTATTTTCGGGCTTAGTCCGTAATATCTCCAGGTTTGATGGGATGGATCGATGCCCACAAATTCATATTGGGCCGGTAATAAGCATCACAAACCCCCCACTTCCCAAGTCGAGAGGAGTATTAGCGAGAGGGAGTACAGTACATGCAATCACCTTTTAAACAAATCATCTCCCTCGTTACTTTCTGTCATCCCAACCATTACAAAATTCCTTCTCCATCTGCAGTAGAAGGATAATTCCTCCAACTCATCATCACAGAGACGAAGAATAGCATAACACTGGACGAAGCATTATCCACTCCAACCTCAAAGCAGACCACAAACCCCAACTGTCTTGTCAATTTTGTCATTTCTGCGATACAACTTGTCGCTGCTGAACCGATTTTGACTATCCGGAAATATACTGTGCAAATAGAGAATCTATGAGTCTATGACTATATGGTGCAAATTAGGGAATCTTTACTATTTGGATAATGGTGCGACTTTGCTGTGTTTTACCAGTAGTTACTATGCCGTCATTTGCGGATATGATGTTGACCATGTAAGTTGAATGCACTTCGGTAGTTTCTAGCTATGCAATGGCTATAGTTTCCCTACATGTCATCCCATGTATAAGCTCCCCATGAGTTTCATGTATTCTTAATTCTGAATATCTTGCGCTAGGCTGCTAGCCATACACCATGTCCATGTCATGATGTGTCCAGACCATGGAAGTGTACCACGTACTTTGTGTTAGGGATAGTGGTGAAGCCACAATCCTGTATCATGTATTGTGTCTTTGGTAGCTTGATGGTCAAGCCATGACTGTTATGTATATTGTAATTGGTTGCTCCACGGTAAAGACACAACAGTCGTTCCACACTTCTACAGTCAAACCACAGTCAATACGTCCATGTACCATTGTCTTTGGGATGCTCTGGGATCAAGCCCAGACAGCATACCATAGTACTGTGTCTTTGGTGGCTCCATAATCAAGCCATGAATGTGTACCACGTCTTGGAGAAACCACATACATTTAGTTCTTGGTATATTGTTTTTGGTTGCTATGCAGTCAAGTTGTTCTTGACTGCATACCATGTACCGTGTCTTGGGATGCTCCAAGGTAATGCCGGTTTAGCCACAACTGCATACCAATATACCATGTAATGTGTCTTTGGTAATTTCAAAATCAAGCCACAACTGCGTATTGTGTACCTTCTCTTTAGGAGCTCCATGGCTAAGCCACAACTACTCACCATGTACTATGTCTTTGGTAGGTAGTTCAACAGTCAAGCCATGAGTATGTAACATCCACCTTGTCTTTGGCTGCTAAAGGATCAAGCCAAGAGGCATACTATGTCATGTTTTTGGTGGCTCCATAATCAAGCCATGAATGTTTATTACGTACCTTGTATTTGTAGCTCAAGGGTTGAGCCACAACTCCTTAACATGTGCTGTGTCTTTTGGATCTCAACACACTGGTGTACCTGTTCATGTACTAATAGTATAATATAACATCATTGGTTATCATCAATGACCCCATTGGCCCATTATATTATATACCCACCCAAACTACTATTTTTTGGCTATGCTTTCTAACCTATTATAGTATCTGTTCTAGTGCCCACCCAAACTACTAAAAAAATCAATACACTCAAATTACATTATTTAATAATTGTCTAAAAACCATGTCATTTTTAAGGGGAACCTTGAGCCGGGGCAAAGGTAGTACTATTTCAATTGATGTTTTCTGGTGCGATTTTCTCACAATGTAGGCCTCACCTTGTGTATGCAGAGGAGTGGAACTAGTTGAAGCTTCCCGTTGCTTTAATTGTAACTCCTATAGCCATTCGATGAAAGATTGCAAGAAGCCTCGTGATTCTGTCGCTGTCAATTCCGCTAGGAAACAGCACAGATCCAAACTGAACCTAAATGCAGTTTCTCGCATTCGGTATTATCAAAGCTCTGAAAGGGGAAAGTATGATGGTTTAAGCCCAGGCATTCTTGATGCAGAAACCCGGAAACTTTTGGGCCTAGGGGTGAGCTCAGGATTTTTAATATCAAACAACATTGGAGTGTTCATTTTCTAACCTTTGGGATTATTTCCTTCAATTCAGGAGCTTGACCCCCCTCCCTGGCTTCACAGAATGCGGGAAATAGGATATCCACCAGGTTATCTAGGTAAGTAAACATTTCTCAGATATTTTATCCCCCCTCTTTTCTCTTCAAGTCTGCTCGGTAAGGCCTTAAATGACTGAATCTGTTCAATTATCACAATGATAGATATATTTTTTTAAATAAATTTAAAAACAAATATGTAAAATGAAGGCTAAGGCGCAACTTCATAAATTTCAGCAAAAAAGAGCAACTCGTCCACTACTTTTGTTTCATTAGTGTTTTGATGAAAATATTGGTTGCTGAAACACGGGAAAATATTCACTACATCTCAAGCGATTTTTAACATGAATCAATGGACCAACCCAAGCTGCTACTACAACTTTCTTTTTAGGCTTATTATGTTTTGCCACTTTTGCCTGGATCATGATAAAGTATATTGGTTTTTTCATTCCTTGTGTCCAAAAATTTTCTAGATCCCGAAGAAGATAATCTGCCATCAGGAATCACAATATTTGGCAATGATGAAACTACGGAAGAAGCAGATGCCAGAGAAATTCTTGAGAGATCGGCAGAGCCACCTAAGAAAATGAGCGTTAGATTTCCAGGGATAAATGCTCCGATTCCCGAAAATGTAGATAAACGGCATTGGGGTGTAGGCCCCTCAAGTTCTATAGCCTCAAGAGCTCGTTCTTATAGAAGACATGCTAATACAACGCCAGATACTGTCAAAAGAGGCCATGATCTTGAGCAGCAAGGGTATGTTTGGATAACTGAAACTACTATATAAATGAAAGAAAGTCCAGGGGAAGTTGTTTTATTTTGTTCGCCTTTACCTCGGAAAGCGCATAGAATAATACACTTCGTACATTTAGAGTTCTTTGTCTTTATATAACCGAAATGAATAATTAAATAAAAAGAATATGAAAAAATCTAACTTGATTGAATTTGAGTCTATTCTAAACTTCCCCCCATTTTTTCATTTTTTCTCAATTTTCATCTCTATTTCCTTTATATAGTTATTTTACCGGGATCCAAATGAATCCAAAGACTATGTTTTGATCTCTAAAATGCTATGGAAATGAATTAAAATGTGAAGGAGAGTTTATTCTCTTGTTTTTGGATTTACCACAAATATTGCAATGAAAATGAAACATGATTGTTTTTTATAATGCTTTTTAGTTTTTACACATGTTATATTTTTAGTATTTATATGATAGAAATAAATTAATAGAACAAATATTTAAAATAGTTTTTTTCAAGTTTGAAATAGTGTTTTCATCATCTGCATTTTCTTTCCTTCAAAATTTACCCCTACCATCTTTCCCTAGGATATTCCGCATCCCAACTGGACCCCAAAGGTCTAGGAGTTTTGAAGAAGAGGGACCTCCACCACATCAGTTTAGGAGTATTGAAGACGAAGGCCTAGTAAGTCAGCGGTTTAGGGATTTTGAAGCAGAAGGTTGTCCGAGGCAGTGGTTTAGAGATTTTGAAGAGGAGGCTTCCATGACGAAGTGGGTTCGGAGTATCAACAATGAAGGTCCTCTGAATCAGCGGTTCAGGGATTTGGAAGCTGAAGGATGCCCGACACAGTGGTTCCGAGATTTTGAAGATGAATCTCCTATGAGGATGTGGCACAGCAATTCTGAAGAAGAAGCTCGTCGACATGGGTGGTATAGGGGGGGTGAAGGGGAAGGCGGTCCACGGCGGCAGTTAGGCTTCAATGATGAATGGCGGCATATGGGCCATTTCGGTGAGATCGACCCATTTTCATACAGACACCAGGATTATTATGATTCCAATTGCGGTGTCCCAATAGATGGATTTAGGAGATCGTTGTCTGACAGAGCAAGAAGAAGCCCACTAGCAGCAGATGACGGTGCTTATTTATCTGTTTCGTACCCAAGATATAGGTGACGACTGCTCTGTGCACCAAGGATGAAAAGAGTCTTCTGGAAAAATTTATTGAATTTGAGAAAAGCCCTTGACTCAATGAAATGAAATGAAATGAAATAGAGGCGCGATTTATCAAAAAACCTGCCTTTGTCCGTTTGTTGGAGAAGCGGTTGTTTTTATACTCTTACCACCCCCATTCAAGAAATTTGGTTCTAGACTTCTAGGTATCATCAATTTAGGGTTTAGACGGATTTCCCCGAGATTAATTGTTTTCATTTTTGTTAGGAGAGCTCCTTCATGTGACATTTCCTGACTTGATAATAGTACTATTAATTACTAGCTAACTTTTTGCAGTGGCATGGGTTTTATATCAATGTTCGTTTCAGATTCATGGCCCCATTTCTCGTGAAGGTTAAAAGTGATGTTTTGTTGTTGCCAGTTGCAAAATGAACGGTTCATTCCTAATACATATTTTCTTGATCTGTTCTGCCCAGATTCTGATTCCATCTAGGCGCTAAGATCTAGTCAATCACCTACAGACCATCTTACGCTTTTTAGAACACTAGATTTGAAATTAGAAACTGGGGAATGTATTAGCTCTGGTAGTTTAATAGTTAGATTTGAGCAATGAAAACAGGCAGTTATAGAAATAGGCTAAAGGGTCAAATAGGCCCTTGAACTGACTTAAAGTGTTCAATTAGCCCCTTATATAGGAGGTTCTGCCCGGTCGTCATAAATTGGGGTGGTTCCCAGTGGAATATTTTGATGAAATTTTTTGACCATCTTCTTCATTAAGTCTAGTTTACCCATACTAAATTTCAGCTAAAAAATTCAATCGGGAAGGCAGACAAATGATTTTCCGAAATGTACTGCGCTGTTTAATTTCACAGTTATCTTCAAAAAATCATTTGACTGTCTTCCCGGTTGAATTATTAGCTTAAATTTGGTATGAGTAAACTAGACTTAATGAAGAAGATCCTCAAAAAGTTTCATCGAAAAATTCCACCGGGAACCGCCCCAATTGGCGACAGCCGTGCTGAGCCTCCTATATAAGGGGCTAATTGAACAATTTAAGTCAGTTCAAGGGTCTATTTGACCCTTTAGCCATAGAAATATAAAGAGAAAAGGGTCAAATAAGCCCGTGTACTAATATAGAAACACCACATAAGCCCTTTTACTTAAAAAAGTATCATCCAGACACCTTTACTCTTAAAAACCAATCAATGAGGCCAAGTGACCTAACAACTACGGGTAATAGCAGGTCATCATTTTCTTTTCTTATTTCTTCTCCACCAAGGGGAGGCCGGTTCTGGGCCTCCCCTTTGACTCTTCCATGTAAGCCTGGACTCGGGCCGGTTCGGGCCCAGTTCGAGCCTGGGCCCGGCCGGGCCTCGGTTCAGGAAAGGGGAGGCCCGGAACCGGACGGGGTAACCCCCGGGTCGGGCCGGGCCGGACCTCGGTTCAATTAGTATTATTTTTTTTTTGCCTTTTCCTACTTAACCCCTAACCCCCCCTCACCCCCAAACCATCCCAAACCATCTCAAATGACCCAAAATACTCAGTCCAACCCAAAAACTTAAAAAAAATTCAAAAAAAAAGAACAAAAAAAAAATAAAATGGCCCGGACCGGGCCCGAACCGGTCGGGCCGGTTCACGTTTTGAGGGGCCCGAGACCGGATCGGAACCCCAGCGGGTCGGGCCTACCCGAACCGGTCACTGACCGGGCCACCGGGCCAGGCCGGGCCGGGCCGGAACAGTGCCGGTTCGGGCCGGTTCCGGGTCAGGCCACCCGGCCGAGTCCAGGCCTGCTTCCATGTTACCTTTCTTTTATTTTTAGTTTTTCTTCATTCTCTTTTGCATTAATCAAGATTATTTTATTATCTCCGGTTTTCTCTCTTTTTTGTTCCTCCTCATTTTTTTCGTTTTCATTTTATTTATTCGTTCGTTCATTCATTCATTCATTCATTCATTCATTTATTTTAACTTAGGTCAATTGGCCTTATTGATTGATTTTGGGGAGTAAAGAGGTGTAGATAATGCTTTTTTGAGTGAAAGCGCTTATGTGATGTTTTTGAATTAGTAAATGAGCTTATTTGACCCTTTTGTCAAATATAAATAAGGAACACGTGCACTATTTTGCTTAATTCCAATTGATGAATCAAAGTCTGGTTCTGTATTACTACCTTTCTCCCGATTAAATTTTCGTTTTTCTTCACTTGGCAAAACTAATCTCATCAGTTTTTACTCAAAATACGTAGTAGTTAAATATCAATCACAACACAGTATTCTTTTCTGTTCTAAACAGTAGTTGTACACACTGTAAAGTGCTGTAACTTGTTTTTTTTAAAGGAAACTAATTACCGTCCCAAAAAATTTTGCCATTTCTAAAAATTTAAATCATGATTTTGATTAGTATAATATTATAGGTGTTAATAATTTTATACTTTTATAAACGTACTTTTAACAAAGAACATTTTCATATAATTTCTATATTATAAATAATTTTCAATAAAAAGATATGGATGATCAAAGTTTTGAAAATGACAAAGTTTTTTGGGATAACAATTAAAGATAACAAGAATCCCACAATCACGAAACGCCAAACCTCCCTATGAGGCTCCGCATAGCCAAACGGTATTCCCACTCTTTGAACAAGGGTTAGACAGAAAACCCTTGATCAGAAAATGAGTCATTTTTAAAAGTCATTTTTTACACGAATCTGGAGGTTTGGTTTTTAATCTCCGCCATCCATTTGAGAGTAAGGTAGAAGATCTTAATCCCCAAAATTTCCATTATTAGTTTACAAGCAGAATAAATATCTTTTAGCATACTTATTTCACTAGTCTATGTTAAAACACTTTTACTTTAAGAGAATTCAACAGATTTAGTTAGTGCGGGAGTGATCTGTAGTATTACCCTACAATCCCTTAATTCCTCAGTAAAGACTAAAGAACCTTGGATTCCCGTGCTTGACGTGTACAGAACTCCCAATTCAGCGTGCAAAGGATGATCGTAGGGCAGCCCCTCTCACACATCTGAGCTCTGATCTTCCAATCAGAAGAATTGCAAAACCCTAAATAGGATTATTTGGAAGAGTTTAGAGTCAGTGAATTCGCCATTGATAAAAAAGGGGTCAACAATGGCGGTGCCGGCAGTAAAATTTCCGATCTTCATGATGGTCAGGATCATAGGGATCGCAGTGGCGGCTATGGTCATTACGTGGACCATGCGTTACAGGGGAGGATTGGCCCTCATCTCCGAAAACAAGGATCTCATCTTCAATGTAATTTCCTTTCCTCGGATCTTTGCTTCCAATTCTTAGCTGGATATGTATGCTCTTGGTTTGAGTCAAGATTTTTATTCAGTCCCATTTTAGGGCTAATTAACACAGTAGCTTCTTGTATCGTGACCCAATTGATGAAGGATTAAAACAGTCTTTGTATATTCCCATTTCCATGCTCATATCATGTATTCATATCTGTTCTTCTATGTGACTTCTGCAGGTTCATCCTGTTTTAATGGTGATTGGCCTTGTACTTTTAAACGGTGAAGGTAATATCTACAACTACACGATTCATTACATTACTTCTCTACCTACAATCTGCGTATGTTACTCTGCTTTATATGGGCTTGAGTGTGGTGAATAGACATCCATAACTTTTTTTAATTAATGTAAAAATGATTGGGCCTTCTGGTCTGTTGTTACTTTGTGATTCTTTATAACATTTTCCTTTCTTTCATAGTAAGGGCGATTACATTGCTCATTTGGATCTCTTTGACCACAAAATGAGGCACATATATTACGTAGTACTCCGTATTTGTTAGCTATCTCACATCATTTTCTTAGCTCCTTCATAAAAATTCTGACTACAAGAATTTTGAAGATTGAAAACTTTGTTAAACTTCAGTGCTATGAGATGGACCAATGTCACAATAAGCATTAACTCATTAAGTGCCCACAAGGTTTAGACTTGGCCAAGCTTAATCAGAGACTAATTGCTGTTGGGGTGGAACCAAGCAGAACTAGCAGAGGAGGGGCTGGTTAAATAACTGATTTATTTAAATATGTTAAAGTACTCCAGATCGGCAATTCATCCACTATTTAAAGATATGGTTTTTCTGTCTAACCTAATTGCATAAGTTTTAAGGTTGAGACTTGCATATCACCCATTATTGAGAGACTTGCATTTAGAAAAAAACATTCAAGTTGTGCATTGGAGTGTCCACATGCTATCTTCCAGACTTCCACTCCATTAATGTGTTTTATTCTATTAAATACATGTTGCATTGATTGTTATTTACAGCTATGCTGGCTTACAAGACAATATCAGGAACGAAGAACTTCAAGAAATCAGTACACCTTGTTGTGCAATCCCTTGCTTTATTTTTAGGTGTAATTGGTTTTTGGGCTGCTTTAAAGTTTCACAACGACAAGGGCATTGACAATTTTTACAGTCTTCATTCTTGGTTGGGGCTAGTCTGCCTCTTTCTATTTGGTTTCCAGGTCTACTTCTTAAATTTCTTACTCTTCTTGGGTTTTGCCTGTTTGTAGATTTTTTTACATGAATTAAAACAATATAAGGGTCGTTTTCTAAATAAAACAATATAAGGGTCTGTTTGATAAGTGTTCTTTGACTGGTTCTGAAAGGAAAAGCGTTACGGAAAATCTTTTGAAATCATAAGCTAGTTATTGTGCTGATAAGCACATTAAGCTGATTGGTTCAAATGAAGCCTAATACTCCACACACACACATTTGTTTCTTCAATATTAAAAAAATCTTCTTGACAGTGGGCACTTGGGTTTTCAACATTCTGGTATCCTGGCGGATCAAGGAACAGCAGGGCAAGTCTACTACCATGGCATGTTTTCTTTGGAATATACATATATGCCCTTGCTGTTGCTACTTGCACTACTGGGCTACTAGAGAAAGTTACATTTCTTCAAACAAGTCACATAATATCACGCTATTCCACAGAGGCATTGGTGGTGAATTCTTTGGGCATGTTGATTGTTGTTTTGGGAGGGTTGGTCACTCTTGCTGTTGCATCTCCTGTGAATGGACAGGCCGACATCCTTCGGGAACACTAGAAGAGTAACCTACCTGACTTCATCTTTGGGCAGAAGATTCAATACTAGAACCTGATAACTCCTGGATCAAATAGCTCAATTTTTTGAAGCATCTGTTGAGACCTACTCAGCTACTCTATTATTCTGTTCTCCTACATCGTAGTCTTTGTATAATTGTATCAACAACATGAAATGAGGAAAAGAGCCGGGGTTAAAGTAAACACTTGCAGCTTGTTTTAATATAGTGAACTCAAGTAAATATGGCAAACTTAAGTGAACCCAAGTTTAGTA